TATTCTGTGACGTCCTGGCTTACTTCCGGTTTTTCCGGAAATAACGAAAATCGAAATTTTTTTATTGTTAAATGGAAACCCTCTCTTTTATTGTAAATGTAAAAATTTTTGTATAATAATCATGTATTGAAATTATAAGAATGTACGATCTTTATAAAATCTTTGTAAGATTCAAAATTCCCATTGAGACCCATTTATCGTATACCAGTGGCACATCTAAGCATTTTTATTATTAGCAAACCGTTTAATAATTCCATCCGCTTTTATCTTCGTTGTTAATTGAGATATTGGAATGAAAACTTTTTGTTTAAAAGCTTGGAACAAATACTGTCATATACTGGATTCAATTGGTGTGTGATGTCATGGCTTACTTCGGAAATAACAGAAAATCTCAATTTATTTTTAATTTTTAAATAGAATCCCCCTTTTTTATTGAAAATTTGAATTTCGGAAACATTTATGGAAAAGAATCATGTGTTCAAAATTTTCTGTCAGCTATCAAAATGACCATCATATTGGAAAATATATTTTTTTAATATGTTACAGAAAATGTTCAATACACGCCCCAAAAATGTCCCAGAAATTCAAATTTTCAATAAAAAAATGTTTGTTTTTCATTTAAAAATAAAAAATAAATTGCGATTTTCTGTTATTTCTGGAAAAGCTGTAAGTAAGCCATGACGTCACAGAAAAATTAAATCCATTATAAGAAAATTTTCTTTTATTTTTCATTTCCTTTGTTTTCCAACAAATAAACATTCTAAAATTTTTTCAAAATTTTGCCCCCCCCCCCTATAGAATTGTGTAACGACGCCCATGCTGTTAGTTAAGTTGCTTTCCTATTTGTGATGTTTTGTTATTTTTGAACATTAATAAATCAACACGTAGTGAAGTAAATTTCAAAATTTTTTGCACGGTTGAATAGAGAATAAAACCTTCTTTCAAATGAGCTATCATTCACCACCCCATGCCATTTAAATTTTTCGAAAGGGTTGCTCCCCTCCAGTAAGGGATGAAATTAAGGGTAAACTATTCATACAAAAATGTGCATTGTAGAAATCAAAAATCAACGTGTCTCAGCGATTTTCCTAACACGACTCCAGTAACGAGTTAGTTGGGGGGGGGGGGGGGTGGTAAGACTTATGATGCTCACTGTATAGAGACATGGCAATGTTAATATTTCCAAAGATTTAAACAAATTCTTGCACTATTTTCTTCTGAGTTATAAATACTTTCACAGTATGTGAAGCGTTTCCTCAAAAAGTTAGTCCATAGGTTAATAATGACTGTACCAGCCCAAAATAGGCTAACTTTAATACATTCAGAGAAGTTGTATTGTGAAGTTGTCTAAAGATAAAACAAAAACTTCCCATCCTTGAGACCACCTTGTTAATATGTCCTTCCCATGTAAGCTTCTGGTCTAGGGTCACCCCTAAATATTTAAAGTTTGTCACCTGTTCTATCGTTCTATGATCAAGCCTAATTAATGGGCAGAAGTCATAACTGATGTTCTTTTGTTGAAAGATCATAAATACTGTTTTTGTTATGTTAATTAGCAGCCCATTATCTGAGCACCAGTCCGAAAATTCTTCTACAGTGGCGTTTGCATACTCAGCCAATAAAGCAAGTTTATGCTCAGCCAATAAAGCAAGTTTATGCTCAGCCACTATGTGACTCGTATCGTCTGCATAGGTTACTGTTTTTTTGGCTTTTTTACATGATTGTGTGAGGTCACTGACAAAAATAATAAATAATAGCGGGGCTAGTGTCGAGCCCTGTGGTACTCCAATGTTAATATCTTTGGGCTGTGATTTTATTGAATCTATACTGACTATTTGACGTCTGTTGCTTAAATAACTAGAAATCCAGTTGCTAGCCACTCCTCTGACTCTCATTCTAAAGAGCTTCTCAATAAGTAGGTCATGATTGACTGTATCAAATGCCCTAATTAGGTCATAAAATATGGTAACTGGGCAGTGCTTCCCATTCAGATTGTCAATTATGGAGTTACAAAGTTCATCTATTGCTGTTGATGTTGATTTTTTCTGTCTAAAGCCGTGTTGGCAACTGGTAATTAACTTGTGCAGTGAGGTAAAATTATTAAGCCTTACATAATAGGCATAATCGATAACTTTTGCAAACTGGGACTGCAAACATACATTTCTATAATTACTTACCTCCTGCTTTGACCCTTTATTTTTGAAAATAGGCACTGACTTAGACGTCTTTAGCTTTTCAGGATATTTCCCTGTGATAAAGGAATGATCAATTATATATGACAGTGGTGCACAAATTATGTCACTTGCTGCTTTTAACGTTTTTCCATCAATTTCATCAATACCTGGAGTATATTTCTTTGTTACTCTGTTGATAATGGTTTGTATTTCTGTTTGAGTTGTAGGATACAGAAATATTTTCAATAGGTGCTAGCTTCAGGTCCCTATTTGGTGTGACTTTTTTATATCTATAAAAAAAATTATTAAAGTAATCGGCCACTACTTGTTTATCTGTTACAGTATTGTTGTTTATGTTTATTTCAAAAGGTGATCTAGAACTTGTTTTATTTCTACTCTCATTTATTATTTTCCAAGACTCCCTCCCGATATTGTCTGCATTTAATATTCTTTTATTATACTCTACTTTAGCTTTCTTTACGATAAATCCATATATACCCTTAAGTTTTTTATACCTATCTTTTATTACCTGATTGTTTGTATCCTTTGACAATTTGTGCATTTCACATAGCTTCTTCTTTTTATTTTCTCTGATTTTGATTTTTTTTTATGGGAACGCATTAAGGTAATGATATTGATATGTTGTATAGAAAGCATTAAAGTTTGAATTTATATCTCTGTTATTATATACCTCAAACCAGTCCTCACTGGCCAGTAATGTTCTGAAGGTCATCAGGTTACCATCTGAATAGTCTCGCCTGAATAAAACTTTATTAAAATTATTTACCATTCTTGCAAATTTAAAGTTACATAATTGATATTTATGATATGACAAATGCGTATCTTCTATTTGACATGTATCAACTAGAATATTTGAGAAAAATACATCAATGCTTCTATTAATACGTTTAGGCTTGTCTATCTGATTGTACATATCAAATTCTAGGAATGTATTTTTAAGTTTTTTTTTATTCTTTAGTGTATCTACATTCACATCTCCACAAACAATATAGAAATAGTTTTTTTATATATACTGCACATCAGCTCATAAATTCCGTCTAAAAATATATCTAAATTACTATCAGGGGTTCTGTATAGCGTCACAATAAATAGTTCTTTCCTGTTTGTCTAATATATCTAGTTGTATTATTGTAAATTCAGCATTTTTTTCGATACAGTTATTGAAAATAACCGGTTTAGCAAATATACCATTCTTAGACAGTATACAAACGCCCCCATGTTTATTTACTTGCCTGGAATAGTTATTTATTAAATTAAAATTATGTAATTTAAAATTATCAATGTCTATAGAAGATAACCAGTGCTCTGATATGCAAAGTATATCATGTGTACAGTCTTCTAATAAAACTTCGAGTTGGGATATTTTCCTTGCTGCCATACCTTGTATATTTAAGTGTATTACAGTTATATCACTTATCTTCTCTTCCTTGTAAATGTTTCCACAGTCATAGTTTTTATCACTTTTGTCTTCAGTCCATCCACTTGATAAAGGGCACATGTTAAAATTCCCCTGTTCTAAAAATCCTCCTGCATTGGCCTATACTGGTTTTTTTGTATTTATGTTATTTAAATAAGAGTGATACTTTTTAAAATCAAAACGTCTTATAGCCACACTTCTTGGCCAGTTATTTGGGTTATACAATTCATCCTTTAAGTGGAAATCAGCACTAAGCATAAAGCATTTATTTTGTGTTTCTGGGGTTGGTAGTTCTTTGATGTAGATATTAGCATTTTGGAAATGAGTGGTTTTTTAGATATTGTAAGATTTTATCTTCGGTGACATGACACTGCAGTCTGTATAGATACAGCCATACCTTCTTCTCCACTCCAAAATCCTTTGTTTCGTTCACTCCTATGGTTTTTTCCTCAGCTCTTTGTCTTTTCGAAAACCCCGTTTTTTGTATGTAATTTCTGTAAATCCTTCATTTTATGTCATCGTCCACTCCATTCTCTCCTTCAATATGAATTATATCATTCATTATTTTAGTTTGAAGATCTAGTTCCAGCCCTGTATTTATTTGTGTGTTTTGTTGAGAGGTCATTCACCTTTTCTTTGCTAGCACTTGCTTCTCCAACCTTAAGTTTATTTTCCTTATCTATAGTAGGTCCTTTTTTATTGGGTCAGTTTTTACTTCACTGGATTGTTGATGTTGGTCTTTTTTTGGAGCCCATGTATTTACTCCAGGCCTTATCTGTTTGTCCACTTTTTTTGTTAAGTCGCTTTTTGTATCCTCAATTTTCTTGGCCATTAACTGATTACTTTGTTTTAATAACGTTATATGATCTTTTAATAACTTACATTTTTTGTCATCTTTTTCTTCTAGCAATTTCTTTAGTAGGTCAACTTCAGTTTGCAATTTTTGAATTCTTGGATCTGCATCACATGCTTGAGTGTCACAACATATAATTCTGGTGTCACATACTTTCACAAATTTGGTTTTATTTCTTAGGAAACAGGAATTATGAAACACATTTCCACATTTTATACACACCACCATCTTATTTTGTTAATTTTGACAACATTTAAAAGCCTTTGTCATTAATTTTTGAGGAGCAGTTTCACTGTCATCCTCACTTGTCGCCATCTTTGAACATATTATTATTTCCGTTAAGGCTTTTTAGTTGCATTTTAAATTATTTAGGTTGGAAATTCGGTTTGTATATATTTCCATTTATCAAAATCTTGATAATTTAATTTTCTGTGAATTTCCAATATCCTCTTGGTATATAATTAAAATTTTTATTTTCAGAAAATTAAAAAATCGTGTTGCAGCACAAACATCTCGCGATCGCAAAAAAGCGAAAATGGATCAAATGGAACAAGCGCTGCAACAACTCTTCTCCAGAAATGAAACCCTCTTAACTGAATGTGAAAATCTGAAGCTTTCCAATCAAAGGCTACAGGAAGAAAACAAGGAACTTCATGAGCGTCTGCAGTCTCCCTGCTTATCATGTACTCAAAACCGGTCTGTCGGGTACGAGACCCTAAATGGATCAACAGAGTCCCTCCTTCAGCAGAAAGGAAGGGTCACGTACCCAGCAGCGGCTTTGAGCGACCAGAAAGCAGTGATACTGTTGAAACTCATAGTGATTTTCCTTCTTTACCAGACCTGCTCGATGAACTGGAAGCCGATGTCGATTTCAACTCGCTGGAACAACTTACTCAGAGCCTCTTACAGGATATCGCCAGAGACTTGGAGGCTACTGCTCAAAAAACAGAAAGAGAAGTAAGTTGACCAACAAGTTTTCAAATAAAATATACCAGAAATATGTTATTATACTATAATAGCATAATGTAATTAAAATTAAGAATATATAATATACTTTTTTCAATCTCACCTCCCACTTACGTTCGTCTCTAATAGATTTGGCTTAGATGATCGATGTTTTAATTTCCCTACCACTTTAGGTTTTTTAAAAAAATTACACAAACTTTACAAAAAGCGGAAATTTATTTTATGACTTTACTGTATACAAGTTAAAATGTTAAAGCTAGAAAATGCCGGCAATGAACTAGTTTTGTTGCCGCTAGATCTTGGTGGGGCCTTATCTTGGACTTGCTGCGTTTGCATAATTCTTCTTGTATTTGCTATGATTGTGTTATCATAACTTACTGTATACACTTCTCAATTTTAATAATATTATGTTTTAGATATCAACAATCAATGGAATTGGATCGACAGAAATGCCGGAACAAACGACAACAGAATTGGAAACCTGTAGATCTGATAGAGACTTAAAGTTTGATTTATCAGAATATCTACTACTCTACCACAACTATGCTGCACCACCGAAAACAAAACAATCAAAAACACCCACAAGAATTAGAAAACTAAAATCAATCAAACCTAGGAATATTGTAATAATACCCGCAGAAACAGAAACAGTACTACCACCACCACAACCAAATGAAACTGAAATTATTAAATTGGGAACTTTAGAAGAAGTTTCAAATGTAATAGCACCTGTAGAAATAGAAACAGTATTACCAACACCACCAAATGAAACTGAAATTGTTAAATTGGGAACCCTAGAAGAAGTTTCAAATATAACAATCATTGTCGATAGTGATGGAAGACCTATTACAACAGAATCTTTACTGACAGAAGGTTCTTTGAATATTCAATCTCCCACATCTTTCAGTAACGATTCTGATGCAGGTTACGAATCGATCGATTCTCCTCCCACTGTATATAATGAAGATCTTTGGGATCAAAGTATTTCTGAACTATTTCCTACTTTGTTTACTGTTTAAGCTGTGTATTATATAATATAATTTAAGATTAATTAGAAAAAATTATGTTGATTTTATAAATTTATTTTACTATATTTATTTTTGCAAATAAAAGTTGTTGGTGACGAAGTATATTATTTTAAAATGGTCTTATTTAGCTGAATATGAAGTTTTTTCACACACGCACATCGAAATTATATAAATAATTGAATTCAAAAATAATGAGATGCTGAAAATTTGGGATTTTAAATGTTTTTTCTTTCATATCTGTATACAAAAGAAAAGTATAGGAATCATGATTTTTTCCTCCTAGAGGGAGCGTGAAAACGAGTTTGTAGGTGATTGTTGTGTTAGCAATATTTGTAGAGGAAGTGAGGAAGCGGACACAAGGGGGAAGGTAAACATTCTTCTTGTTCAGTGGCGTATCATTTATCTATAAAAACACACATTGTCCAAACGTTTTAATTGTAAAAAAATTGATTTTACTATTTTTAAAATGAATACCGTCTTATATGTGTCTAATGCAGGAAATGAAACAAAATCGCTGTAAAGGTCTAATTTTTTCCAATTGAAGAATAAAACCTTAAAATCAATTTTATTATAAATAAATACAGGAGCGACTAGTTTCGGCCTTACAAGAAAATCTTCAGGCCTGTTATACAATAATCTTTAATTATGATAATAGGTTGGTCACTTACGAATAACATTAAATAGTATAAACCACAAAAATGGATCCATATTGTAGCGTTACAGCATTATAGAATTAAAGCTGTGAAAATAAGAGAGCAGTGCAAACGTAACTAAAAATAAGAAAACTGAGTACGGAATCTACAAGAGAAGAGGTGAGAGCAATTAAGAATGCATTTAAATTGCTCGGAATAACAAAGCTGATAATGTAGTGGTATAGTCCCCGTCAAAGAAGGTCTGGATATGTTAAAGAGGACGACGTTTTCTCTGTAAATCTGGAGAATGTAAGGATGGAGGGAAGACGAATCTTGCTGGCTCAGGTGTAGATGGCTAGCAAAAGGAGCGTGTAGATGAAAGCTCCAGTAAATATCGTCACTTTCGTCTAATTTTTTATTCTCACTCACTGTTTCGGCTTTATCTTCGAAATTCACTTTTAAAAGGAAATAAAAGTAATCATTCATGCAAGCATATAATAAAACAACATAAATTCATTATATTTAATAAGCTAATAATCGTTTATTTCAATGAAAAAAACATATGTGAATATAAAAAATATATAAATAGATAAGATTAATATCAAAATCAATTTGAAAATACAACAGATAATAAAATGAAATAAATTAATACAAGTACAAATAGAAAGTTAATAACATACCTTCTAAAAGTAACACATTTTAAGTAGATAAATGTTTAAAGAGTTTATTCCTGAACATAACTAATCTAACGTTTTCCCCTTTTTAATATTATGAGGGTTTTTGTAGTTGAAATGAAAATTATAATTTATTTTAGTCCTAATAAAAATTTAAACATAGGTTATCAAAGAGTAAAATACATAATAGAACTTCATAATCTTAAATCGTTATCAAAAATAATTAATGGTAAAACTTCAAACAATAATTAGATTCTTAAACAAATTTCTAGTTTTTATTTTGCAAGAGACTTTTTTGCCTTCTTCGGTTGCCTCTGCCACTTTTCTTTTAGTAGTTTCGAGGAGAATTTTCCTATGGAAACCAGTAGAACCATCAATTGGTTGGTAAAATTTTGAAATTTTGGGTCTGGTAAGTCTTGCTAAACTTTCTTCTTAGGAAGCTGTAACCTTATGGAGAATAAAAATTTAATGTTAGATCAAGAGCTCTTAATTGAGAATTATATTTGCAAAGGCCGTTTTAATAATATTCTCAAAAGTTCTTGGAATCGTTAACAGAAACTTTCAAGAAAATATATCATTTTATTCCTAAAATATAAGATATCATACAATGCACATTCATATAATATCATTGTGCTAGAAAAATACTAGGTAGGTACTGAGACAATTTAAAAAAAGTATTTCGAGAAACTCCACTTTTAATGTCATCATTATACTTAACTTTTTTATTGCTAAATTATTAATAATGTCATTTTGTGTAGTTCGTTGTGATTTGTATAATATATATTATAAAAACTATGGTCAATGTTAATGTGCCAAGTTTTTTTAATAATTATGTCCTTGTTATAGTAAAAACACATTTAAACTCATTTTTAAAGTTTTCTGGATTTCTGCTTTAAATTATCGTACAATTGAACTGACTAATTGTGTGTTTAAGTAAAGGTATATCTCTTTTTTGTTATAACAGTCTTTGTATATTGTTCTAACTTTTTAGATAATAAGAGAAAACAGTAAGACATCTTAATATATCCTATTTCTCCAACAAAAATGTAGAATAATTAATCTCACATCAAACGAAAATAGTATATTATGCAACGATCATGTAATAACCATTACATGAGAGTTGCATACGCTATTTTTTCTACACCCGATAAATAATCAAGACCTATAAATATTCTATTTATATTGGCATTGAACACAATAACAGTAATTACTCGTATTTCTATAAAAAATTCTACAAAATTGTAATTAATGGTATTACCTTGGGTATTGGTATTACCACAGATTTTTGGGGCAAAATATTTTGTACTGCATTTTCTCCTTTCTCCGATATGTGTGGAGAAGTCTTCTATATCGCTGATATCAGACATTTTAATATTATAATTATCGAAGTTTAGCTATCTACGAAAATTTAATACGTTTTGACAACTAAAACAATTACATAGGAATTTAGGACAAACGTCAAACATCATGCTTGATTGAAAAATTGTAGGTTTCTATTGATTAAAAATCTGTATCATAATGAAAAATCTGTATCATAATGGGTATCATTATGAAACGGATTATGGGCATATAAGTGCATTATTATAATACGGGTGTAGAAAAAAGTCATTTTAGGATGTCCTAATAGGTTTTAACTTAAAAACTAAATAAAATGTATATTGCAACTGTATCATAATGATCTGCATAACTCAAAATAGTCAAAACCCACATTATTTAAGTTGTTCTAGTATTGTTTTAGCATAACGATGTAAACTCCAATAATAAATATTCACATTTTTTTGAGACGTTTTTTATGGAAATTAAAAAAAACATGAATAATGTGATATTCTTGTTTAGTTTTGTACTATATAATATAGTTCATTAGGTAGTGATTTAGAAGCAAATTATGTTCTATTTATAGAATAAAAAATCATTCATAATATCTAAATATTTATACCTATTTATATTTTGGACAGGAAGACTATTTTATGTTTTTGACTCTGAATAGTTTTTTTAAGAATTTTAAAACCTTTCTTAGCTCTTTTGGGATATTCCATGCATATCTTAGAAGTTCATTTTGTTTAAACCTAAAACAAATTAAGTACAAAAAATGAAAATTTAAACAATACACAAAATTAGTCTTTTAGATTAGTTAAAAAAAAGTGTCAACAAAAAAATGGCTATGCCTTTTTCCTTAAACATTATTTTTGAAAGAAACTTAAGTTTCTCTACTTACTTGCTGTTTTATTATTTTAGTAGCAGATGAATATGGTGTAGAAGTAGTGACAGGATTGATTATTATACTTCTTTCGTCAAAATTGCATCTTTCTTTAATATTTTCCTCCCCTGAGGTCTGTAATAAAAATGTTCTTTAGAAAAAAAAGTTATTTAAGTGGTCACAATTCCTATATTTTGGAACCATGTATTTCTCATATCAAGAAAAGGAAACCTAAAAAAAATAACAATAAACTTTACAAAGATGTCTATTATTATGAGACGGATGAAGACGAACTTAGCTGGAGTTTACTTGCTCTTAATTAAGGCGGCGTTAGCAAATGTATTAGCATAGGAGAATTTTTCAACATATAAGACGGGCTTTCTAGACAATGAATTTATGCGGATTTGCTTTTATAATATTCTAATAGTATTGAACTAGTTCCTGAATATATTTTAAAGTGGAAAAAAATTGAAAGAATGAAGAAAATAACGAATTTGTGAAAATTTTACATGTAAAAAAGTCATCATAAATCGCTATAAAAACTATTTCAGGAACTAGAATATATTCCCATTAGAGGCTCCGCATAAGAAATATTTCATTTTTTGCTCTCATTTTCCAGTCTTATATGCACAAAAATTTTTAATTTTAACCCAAAAAACGCAACCAACATTACATAAAACAGGTGTAGAACAGAAGTAAAAGTTGGAAATGCTTTTGCCAGTTCTCCCACTTTATACACATAAATTGACAGGTTGCCAGCGGATCTCACCGAAGTGGACGCGATACATTGGCGTACAAAATTATTTTATAGATGTTAATAACAATTTCGAGTAAATAGTTTAATAAATTGTGAATAGCTGTTGAAATTTTGTAAAATTATGATTTGAATATTATAATACATGTTTAATAATTATTTATAATCCATAAATACATGCGATTGTCCGGTTCTGCCAATAACAATTTAAAATTACTTATTCTGTGAAACGACACTGGTAAGTAAACATTACTGCGAAATTCTCGGAGCCGCCCGACGTGGTTTGACGTTTACCCCCTCTCTACCTACCAAAAGACTTTTCAACTTTTACTTTCTCTATAATCCCTGTAATTTTAGGTTCAGGCAATCTTATATAGATGACGCCACCTGAAAATATCAAATTTATATCGAGCAACGTTGTCATATTGTTATGAAGTATCGGAAGCAAGGAAGTTCGTTATTTTATTACAAAAATTAGGTAAATTGTGTTAAGTCTGGTTTTGGAGAAACATTTAAAACGTGTAGAGATTTTGTAAAATGTTTCATTTTTATATTACAAAATATAAGAACGTAATTTGTTAGATTTTAAATATAATGTTGAGTTTTGTTTTTTCTGGCTGGATTTACGTGAAAATTGGAACAAGATGCATGTGAAAACATCGATCCTGGCCTTTCAAATGCATTTGTGGGTTCACAAATTAGTTGAGAAGAGTTAAAAGTAAGAGCAAACTTTT